TAAGTTAAGACATAACAATCTTCCATTGAAGTCGACTGTGGCCGCCATTTTGAATAACCTCGCTCAAATATTTCCAAGATGGCCTGCATATTAAAGTGCTTATGAAGTGAAAGTGAAGCATCTTTTTTTAAATTCTCTAATCAATCTTTAGCACTTCCTTAGTAAGTTTGTGCAGTTTGAAAGGAATTTGACCACGGGAACATATTTTTTTTGCGCTTTGAAATCCGGTAATATGGCTAAAATTGTGYGACAAGGGACTGGGTCGAGTGACGTCAAGGGGTTGACAAACGCGACCAGGGCACAAGTGACATATGTGAAAATACTTGAAAACACTAGCAAGTTGGGTTTGTTGCTGTTTGGTTTGATCCGGTTCCAACGCTTGCAATGTCTGATACTGATGATTCTGCTTCATCACGAGCCAGTGGGGAATCGGAGGTGGAAAGTGAAGCCGAAAACTTTGTTGATAATATATTTCAACCGTACCAACACGAACCTCTGGCGTCCCAAGATGAGTACGAAAATGACGAAAACGATGAACACGACGAAGATGGGATTCCTTATGCTACGTTAGAAGCCAGAGTTGAGAACAGAGATCCAGTAAGCAATTGGTAGGTTTTATAGTCACGTTTTGGTTTAATGTTAGTATGCATGTAAACATTGCTTTTTATAATTTGAAAATCAAGTTCGATTCATTCATTCATTCATCGTTGCGTCGTCTGCATTCGAAGACGCAAAGATCACACCKAACGTTTTCTTGCCTTTCTTAGTTTAATAAAACTTTAAACTTTCTGAATCACAATTTATTTTCACGCAAGATTAGTAATATTTAATTGTATGTTATCGGTTGTAACTTAGATTTTGATTGTAAATAATCGCGAGACAGGTTATCAGCTGTCAATGCAGATTGTCGCACCATACTTTGCTATGCATGCAGCTGTATCAAAACTATAAACTTACTCGAGTGTCTTGTTTTCAATTGACTTGGATTGTCTTTTGTAGGTGCAAATGTGGACATTGCAATGTGGAAAATGTTCTCGTTTCGCGAGAATTTCGATGCTGCCACGAAGTAAGGCCAGCAATTGGTCTCATGTTATTTGACGCGTCGATCGAGCGTCATTCGTGTATCACGCAGCATGAAGACTTTGCTTCACTTGTGAACAGGACTGTACTGAAACAGGCTGGCCCTTTATTTCGAGAAAAAAATGGCAGAATGTATCGACGTAAAGGAAATCAATCAGAAAACGAGTAAGACAAAAAGTTTATAATTATAACTTTTTTATTCTTGTGCATGACATATCATGGGGAATGTCTTTTCATATGGAAGTCMGTGACAAATGAACTGCAATGTGCTGTGTTTACATAAATCCTTTACACTAAAAATTGTTTGACTTCAGGAGTGGAAAATAAATCTTCTTTCATCAAATAGTAATGATAATATTCCACAATGGTCAGGTTTCTTACAATCCCATATGAATCAATATGTTTATTTCACATTGTAGATACCTCAGAGCAGTGGCATACAGGTGGCTGATACGATGGTTGTGTGGCCACCTTGGATGGGACAACAGCAGACCATTGTCAGCATGTTTGTATCATTATATTAGGACAACATTTCCAAGCACCAACTGCCATGGATATGCAGGATCACGAGAAAGGAGTGACTAGTAATATGCCTCAAGAAGCTGTTAGATTGTTCGTGTTTGCTATAAGACTCATAACTTTCAAAGCCAACGAGATACAAGGTTTACAAACCATAACTACAAAAAATGTCACAGCACTATGGTGTAAAATAGCAAATGTAACCATGTGACATTGTCTTTGACAACATACATGGAGTTTCCTAGAAAAATTTATTAATTACTTATTATTATTATGTATTGCTTGCTATTTATTATCATTAAAAAAATATCATAAATTAGATGCAGTGACCGGTGTTTCATTAGTACTTGTGGCTATAGGACATCTGGAGCGTGAGTGACCTTTCATTGGCTGAGAACATTTCTTGCATGTTCTAGTCTTTCTGTTGGGGTTAGAACTAGAAGGGACTGTGGCATGTTCACTTTCTAGAACTTGTTGTTCTTGGGCTGCAAACAAACAAAAATTACAAAAATGGTAAAGTAAATGTATTTCGGCAAAAAATTACTCACTGATTGCATTTGAAAGGGAGCCTTTTATTGAAGACCAATCGCTTTTTCATTTTCAATCATTCCTTGTGTTGATTGGATTACTTCAAGTTTATCTGAAAAAAAATGTAGGCAGTATTATGTAGCTTACTCATGACTAACCTGAAGGAAAAAGTTCAATCCTTAATGCTTTACGTTGATGGTGTACATGGATTGCTGCTTCTCTTCCTACTCTATCAGCAAAGGACTCAGTAAGGGTTTCTGRTGCTTGCGGCTGGTATTTTCTGAGCATTTCCATTCGCTTTTCAGATTCCAAGGAGAAAAGAAGTTCTCTAATTTCATCAACATATACTGTAAAATAAAAAATAAAATAAAAKAATCTACAATAGCTCAATGGGTAGCATCATTATAGTAGCTTTCTTACCATATGTAGGAGGGATTCCAACTTCACGTACAATCTCTTCACCAAGCTTAAACTTTGGGTACACAACTCTGACATATGGTCTGCCATCTTTTGTTGTCTTGGTTGTTCGCTGGAGGTTTTCATTAAAATGAAGACTAGCCAAAATTGTTCTACAAAGATGATAGTAAAATGACAGTAATAAGAATATATAGTGACAATAATATTTATATCATTATTATCATTAGCAACCAATTCATTTCCACTTATTTGGCCCTGAAAAAACATTGGACCTAACTAGTCAGAAAAGATTTACTTTACTTTTTTACAACCATCACTTGGCTGTATAGTGTGCCCTTCAGTATGTAATAAAATATTATCATTGGTTTCATAAAATACCTGCAATATGTCCCAAGCCAGGAAAAACAAATCATTTTAGGATGCCAGTAATTTAGAGTAGAATGGAACCCCTCTAGGCAGCTTGTTTGGGCCTCAGGTGACATTTTTTTGACATCAGCTAGAACTTGTTTTTTCATGAGAATACTCTCCAGCTTGTCATAGGCCTYTGAACCTGTCAGAAGAAATACATGTTTTGCAATCAGGCAAAAGGTTTACACAATCCCTGCTAAAAAGAACAAATTACAATTCATGAAAAATATAAGTGCATAAGCAAACAAAATTTCTTTGACACTAACATCACTACCAGGTTCACATATTAAAAAGAACCAGGTATGGGGCGTATAAAAAAATCCAATATTGTTTTGGGTCCAATTTTGTACTTCGTTTATGCAGATACTTTTCTTCAAATGCACTAGATAATGGTGTCAGTRACACGAAAACTCTGTTCATGTCTTACCAACTTTCAGCCATTTCCTTGGTTGCAATGTTTCATGTGCACACTTTGTAAATAATTTAGATGGATGATCAGTGTGTCTGTTGCTCACATGCCTCATAAAGGATTCCCACTTGGCAAGAATTAACTCCTGGAAGTTGAGTTTGGTAGTCGTAGCACACCAGTACAAATGGTTTCTTACTGCTTTCATCCAATATTTTATACTCTCAAAGTCATGTTCTTTGCTGGCTTTGAGCATTTTCTTTGTTAGGGATCGAGCAATATGCCAAATGTCATAATAGTGTTGAGTACTTGGCTGACATTCCCTGATCCACTTTGCAATACCTCGATGTCGATCAGATATGAAATTTGTAATGGTAAGTCCAAGGCCATCCATGAAAGCAAAGCATCTCTTAGCTCCCTCCAACTCCATAGCTTGGCTGCTGCCAACTTCATTTGACTAGTATAATAAGAAGTTAGCAATTTTGTCAGATTAACTACTTTACATTTTATATAAAATATACTACATATTTTATAAATGAAGAAAAAGCTTTCTACCATTCAGAAAAAATTTCAAATATTTCCATCTGTAAAATATTTGAGACTTCAAAACTCTGACGCTTGAGATAATCTAAATGTWATCAGCATTTCTCATTTGCATTTTTAGCCAACAGCACTAATGATATTTTAATAATGTCAAGTGACAACAAAGAATATAGCTTCAAAATTCAATAACATGCATAAAAGTACTTACCTGTAACAGCTGGAAATGAACTACTTYGGAAATACTACAGTTGAACATTGTATATATCCCAAACTTTGCAGAATGGCCCATGGAGTCAAATCTTCCATCACCACTCCAAAAGTTGTCCTTCACATTTTTCACTTGATTGACAATTCCCGTTGTTTGATTTTCCCAGTGTTTAAGAATTGTTGGGAATAGTAGGTTCTTCTGATGCGCAAAATATGTCCTAATAGAATACGCAGTAAGACCAAAATGTCTCAGCACCAGTAGAACCCTACTGACAGAAGCACCAGCCATAAGGATGGAAAAACTCAGCAATACATTTCCCATAGGATATTTTCCTAATGAGCATGTTGGCTGACTGTCCCACTGAAAGGACCCTTTACACTCACTGCAACCTTGCTTCACTGTTACCATTGTTCCATTTGTTCTCATTTCTACAGAAGGTTTCCCACCTCGACACTTGAAGCAAAACATAGAGAACAACTTCAAAAGCATACAGTGGAAGACTATAAACTTTGGCTCATTTTGGCTTTTGGTGTTGGGTTCAACTCTGAAAGATATCAAAAATAATAAAATATTATTAATAATATAATATTACTAGCATTATAGGAAGCTTAATATAATATTGTCATGCCCACTCTTTATCATTATTATGATCATCACAGAACTTACTCAATTGATTGTGTGGTTGTCTTGTGGCTTTCTTCCTCTAAATTATTGATATCTTCTTCCATAGCAGCCCAGTCAACATCTTCTGTGTCCATAGGTTCAATTTCGCTCTCGGCATCGTCTAGATCTTCTAGTTCTTGTCGCAGGTGCTCGCCATCACTTTCCTTTCCTTCGTCTATTTCATTCGTGTCACCCTCTCCCTCAACATCGAACCGTGGGTTCTCTCTCATCTGTAAAAGCCCAAATAAGCCAAAATCAATTTTCTATTATTTTAATCACCTTTATCAATAAGAAAGGGGCAGTAAACTTTAATGGAGAATATTGAACGAATAAATAGATCGCCCATAGAAGCCTTTCTCACCGTTATAATTTCTGTTTGTAGACGAGAGATTTTCCCCCGAAGTCGACTGTTCTCCTTTTGAACTCTGTGTAATTTCTTTTTCGTCTCAATACACTTTCCACATGACTCTCGAGGGTTAGGGTCAACATTAACGGTAGCTGTCTGAGGTAAGTAGGAAGAAGTACAAGTGGTAGGGGTTACAAAATTTGACGTATCATCATCTGTGTTCACAATGGCGGCTTCGGAATCAGTTTCGAGATCGACCTCCGGCGATTGAGCAGGCGGTTGATGGGCATTTCGAAGAACCTAGCATTGGAAGAAAAAAATGGATATGGTAAGAAAAAAGCTTTCGACAAATAAGTCATCAATAATTTTTTAAGTCTTTTTATTTTAGTAAAACCAAAACACCGAAACRCAGTGTTCATAGTTCATAACAACGAGCTTTCATATGGTCGACTTACTTGTCTTCGTTCTCGAGGCGTTTGTAACTTTGTTGTTTGAGGAGCAACAGAATCCACGGTTGGTATTGCATCCTTCTCCAGCCTTTTCAATGTTGGTATATCCGATTTTGCTTCGACTGAAATGTCTAAGCGTCTCACATAACAAGTAGGCTCAAAGTGAGCAGAGCACAAAGCAGACGTCGATGTTGGGTAGAACTTGGGCCTATGTTTACGAACAAATCTCACCCACTTCGCTTTTTGAGATTCACTAACAGGAAAACGATGCATCGAGATACCTGGTGTGTAAGTTGTATTGGTACAACTGACACTGCCAGGGCCTCCAGCCACACAATATTTACCTCCACGACGAACCAGTTTCGTAGTGTCGTCCGCCATGTTTAGTATAGTTAGTAGAGACATCAAACCCCTTGACGTCACGCATACTAATTAGGCCGCGCGAAATTTGTCGCACAATTTTAGCCATATTACCGGATTTCAAAGCGCAAAAAAAACATGTTCCTTTGGTCAAATTCCTTTCAAACTGCACAGAATTACTAAGGAAGTGCTAAARATTAATTATATGATTTAAAAAGGGGGGCTCATTTTCGCTTCATAAGCACTTTAAAGACTTTACAGTACATATATTGAAAGTCTAACTGTATTCAAGGAGATGAAATGATGAAAGAGAAAGAAAGAATAAAAGTATATTTACACCAATGAAAAATAAAATAAAATAAACTTGAGTGTTGATGGTTGGAGTAGAATGAAAGTAATTAAAAGTACTGTAAACGTAACTCTGTACTTTTACAAAAACCATTTTACAGTAATTGTTGCAGCATTTTAAACCAATGTGCATATTGCAAGAAAGTGGTGTGGAACCATTTTTTCCAATCCTATGATAACAGCTCCTACAATTTAATTCATAGTATAAAGGTCTACTATGTATTTTGATGAGCATGTGAAGTGGAAGTACAAATGGACTGCTCAAATACTCAGGATTACCTTATCTTCAAGCTCATCTTCATCTTCTGAGCTGTCCTGCAAGTCTTCTGTGCTTGATTTGGCTATAAAATTAAAGCATATTATGGTTATTTACTTCAAATAAGCAAATTTTACAGAACATTATTTTTTTCTATTATGATACAGTGAGACTCCAAAAATCAAAAAGCAATTTTCACATGAACAGTGGAATGACATGAGAAAATGAGAATGGCAATAGTAATGGCAAAGCACTGCACAGCCATACCATTTTACAGTTGTAACAGAACTTTGCTCACATCCCAAAAAGTCAAGGGATACAGTGTTGTTGTATCAACTACCAGAGCTTGTACAGTACTTACTGCCTTCTGTTGCCTTTGATTGAGTGACTTCCTCCTCTTCCTCTTGTTCAGTGTTTTCCTCCTCCCTACTTTTTGCTTTCTGCTTCTGGAGAAAGATATAAAACAATGCTACTTTAACTTGTTCGTGATTGGTCAAAAATAAACATTCTTCAAATATTTCTAGGTCTCCGAAGTTTTTTGATTTGCACTGTAAAAGCTGCACATGGAAATATAAAAACTAATATTTTTTTGTTATTTTTTGTTTAGCTGGTTTGCTACAGATAAACTTGAATATTGACCTCATACTGTGCATACCTTTTTAGATTCTCTTTTCTTGGATATCTTGTCTTGCAGTGAAGTGGTTGGGGTTGCCTGAAGTGATAAAAATGGGTTTCAAAATTCAAGTATTTATATAAAGATAAAGATAACTTTCTCTTGCAGCTTCAAAAATATCAAACTCAGTATCCTACATGGAAGGGGAATGCATTTTCAATCGAATATTTACCAATTCATCTTTCTTTTTGGCAACTTTAATTGCCATGTCCAGATTCCATGACTGATCTTCCAAATCGTTCGGGTCTGTAAACGAGAACCCTTTCTCAAACAACGACTTATCTTTAATCTTTTTACTTTTCTTCTTCTTTGGCTGTTAGGCAAAACAAATCCAACAAAATTAAACTTTAGAACAAAATAATTGCGAAAAATACAGGCAGATATAAAATGAAGGATCAGTGTTCTTACTAGTTCTTCTTCCTCGCTGTCGTTGTCTTCGTCTAAAGGTTCTATTTCTTCATCTGAGTCGATGGTTYCAACAAACGGCAAAGAAGCCGCCATCTTGGAATCAAAACACACGTGGATTAGAGAACCAACTGCCCATGCGCAATTAAGATACAGGAAACCCAGATTTTTAAATATTTTAAACATATTTTATCACAGGTAGCCCAAGCTTGGTTTCTGTGGTGTCCTGTTATAAGGAAATGTAAGCAGGACACCACAGAAACCAAGCTTGGGCTACCTGTGATTTTATGATGTGCCAATCTTTATCATGAGTACWATATGGACTGCCGAACTGAGCTCAGGATTCCTGGGTTTTTTCCCTAGCATCAGCATTTCCAAGAACTGATCTATTTTCGTTTTCGGCTTTTCCTAGTAGGCGTCCTTTGAAAACTCCACAGGAAGCCCGCAAGTTGTTGACCACCAGAGCGGCCTCGTTCATCTATCTTCACTAATTTGAACCATCTTAACTCCACGACTCATTTAGTAAAGCGTAAAGCACAATTAGTAAATCTATAGAAGCGGCAAATATATCATATTTTTTCGTTTACTAATCGTTTAGGTTAGAAAATGCAAGTTGACACGTGATGGGGAATCCCCGCATCCCATAATACACTATTGGCTCACTGCTAGAAGCGAAGGCGGAAGGAGAATCAAGGAAAAAAATGAAGAGAAAAATCCCATCATTTTAGCAGATCAGATGGCAAACTCCAAAGAACTACAACCAGGAGGAGACATTCTTTCTATTTGTCGTGCTCTGGTGTTTAGATTAGACGGACAGACCAAAGAATGGCATGAAACAGGAGGAACATCTAAAATATGTTTATTAAGGACACCTATTGTTTATCAGATAGAAGGCCGTTTAGAGTCTACGGGACAGGTAAGCAAGCCTTTATACAAACTCAAAAAACTATATATATCGAAACAAATTATTATGTTGCACAATTGATTGTGAGTTTGAAGTTGGCTTGTGATAAACAAACCGCGTACGCCTCTGTATCTGTTAATGCATATTTTATTATATAATTTATTATTGCGAGATTTTAAGCTTATATTTTTCCTGTAATTTTACGAGTTTGTTCAATTTCGAGTAGACCAACCTTCAAATCTAACTGTCTTTAACTAGTTTTCTTTTTTCTATTTGCCTTATAATATTATTTATTATCATTATAGARTGAAGTCATTTAACCCGTGAAAATATAGATGTTAGTCAATACACGTTAGTAGTCGCTTATTTCCTTTACTTTCTTTTGTGTCTACTATTTGACTATTACATCTTAACTATTAAATTTTGTTTCACGGGTAGTCACTCTAGTATTGAATCGAGTTTTACTTACTAAATTTAAAAATACAAGTTACACTCCGAATGTTGCTCGAGAATCGATTGAAATAAAACTATGCCGAATTATGGTTTGTTCTCTTTTTTTTATGAGGAAGTCTAAGATTAAATTTACATTTATTCCRGGTTTTATTTAGTTGTAAAAAGCTACGTAATGTGAGCTTTTTTAAGACATTAGTTTGTAGAGTATGCAAGGTTTCAAAATTTGCTAGGCTTTCAATTTAACATGTACTGACATAGTTGAGCATKGAGTCACTTACTAAAAGTGGCGATGAGCAAAACTTAATTTAAAACCTTCAAAAATATTTTATAAAGACTAGGCGTTCACATGATTAGACTTTACCATCCTATCCCCACGTTTCAAAACATCCAGGTGATCTGACGGAAATCAATTAGCCAATCRGATTGCGAATCATGTTTGCTGTAAAATAATCACTTCCATTAGACCTTTGCGCRCCTCAAGCAGAAAAAACAAAGATATGTGTGGATCGGTAATGATCAAGAAAATAACACATATAAGTATAGCAAGTAAATACAACACATTTTTAAATCAAAATATGTGTATGTACATATTAATATATGTACATACACGTTACTACTAAATAGCAATTTGAGTATATTATCTAGTTTTTAATCATTTTTGAAACAAAAAACTTTGTAAGGTTAACTTTGTTGGCTATCGAATYACCCTCAAAGAAGATATGACAATCATTCTTGTCCATTGTTTTATCACTATGGGAGTTACCCCCCATCCCCCCGTCAATATCTGTAATTTTGTTTTTGTTCTGAATTAATCTTCAGGTGACAATCAAGGTAACATTGGGACAAAATAATGAATATTCCATGATAGATGATGAYCCTAATTGTTACAGACTGACCATCAGTCCTCAAGAATTGTACATATTTAGAATTGCTGCAGATAGCGACAGCAAAACATTTTCATTTTTACTGCAGAATGTTTTACGGACATTGAGAGGTAAGTTCTTTAGGACTGCTGTTTACTTTAACTAATAGTAATGATAAAAGGGTAAATTATGCACCGTGAAAAGATGAAAAAACTTACTGATGTTTCGGACGCTAGTCCTTCATCAGAGTAAAAGAGAAAGAGGTGGTAGAAAGAAGTGTTTATATGATAGAATAAGACAAAAGAAACCAATGAGAACAAGGTAGGCAAGGAAACAAAAACAAACAATCAAAAGACAAAAAAAAAAGGGTTAGTTCAAAGCAAAGTGTTCATTAATCCCATTGGGACTAAGAGCACCCAATAGGTGAATAAGCCCTATTTCTTTGGTCTTGCAACAATACATGCAAATTTTTTCATTGGGGAGGGGAGAGTAGTACAATGTTGTAGTTACAGTAGCATTATCTTAGGAATAAACAGAAAATAGGCCATTTTAGCAGCAAGAAAGAGAGTGGGGCAAGTTTTGAATTTTTATTTGATTAAGAAAAAAATGTGTCCCTACATACCATACATTCTTTATAAATTCTGAATACCAAATTTTGGAGATTCGGAAAATTTAGAGTCGCACTACAAAGGGCCTGTCGTTGACAGATGTCRAGAGGATTATTGACACAGWTTGATCAAAAAATACYGTAATGCGACTTGCCCCTAAGCTGTAATTCTGATGATTTTAAGCAGAACATGTTCAAACTTGTACTAATCTCGTATGAAATGCGTTCTCAAATTAATTGCCAACATTTATATAAATAATTCAAAACTAATCCCAGTCTCTTGCTGTTACTAAAGTGGGCACTATGAGATTGGTGGTAATCTAAATGTTAGAAGGATGAATAAGAAATCAGGTCAATGTGACAATACAAGACTCTTAAGGTATTAATAACTCACACTTTTAGAGAAACAAGAAATGAGACCAGAGGAGGCTCCTTTATCACCACGAGAGGCTTGGGTTGGAGAAGCAGCTCCACCTTCACCTCATCAGCCAATATCAGAACAACTTCTTACAAGTAGTAATCTAGGTAATAGAATTCCTTTGGCATCAATGCATGCGAGTAGCAGGCACTTAGTAAATCCACTAAATCCTCCAATAACAAGCATATCAAAAGTTATGTCATCAAGTACACCAAGTTTAAGTGAGAAAAGAACTGCACAGAATCAGCAAACAATAAGCACTTTAAATACATCAGCACTTAGACCAACATATTCACCAGATCAGAGATATACGGCAGCTACAGCTGTAAGGAGATCAGATTTTGAAGCTCAAATTGGTATGTATTTTGGTCGATTCTGATTCAATTATTTGATATTCGCACTTTTCTTCCCGTTCCATTATCCATCCACCATCCATCTTGATCAAGCCAGTCATCTTTCCAACCCATTCATCATCTATTGATCCCATTCATTATCTACAGTATCCAGTATATTTTCTTCATATGTCCATTCATCCATATATTCCATTCCTTCAGTACATCAACCCATCAACCCTATTCCATTGATTGGTTGATCGATTGATTCCATTCATTTCACCTTTTCTATCCATCCACCCATCCATCCATCCTTTGCCATTTACTTTTTTATCCTGTCAACCCATTTAAGATGTGCAATACATGAGTCATACAGGGTATTATATATTTCTTGTTGCATTTGTAATCTTTTTCTTTCCTGTATTTCAGAAGCTTTATGTGAACAGCTATCTCGTGTAATTRGTGAGGGTGACGTGAATGCAGCATCGGAAATTGTTACAATCATGGCTCAAGAACGAGTACCGCTGAGCATCAAGATGAAAAACCCTAAAGTCATAGCTGTTGAGCATGGAAATGAAACCATTGAGTAAGATAATATTGTGTTGCAAGGAATATTTTTTAATATTACGTYAACTCTGTAGCTGGAAAATTCATGATGAAATTTGTTTTTTCTCTGCCACCATCCAAAATTAATCAAATAGTAACTTTTCAACTGATAATTTTCAATTACTGAGTCCACGTGATATTGAAAGCTGCAGTAAATAACCTTCCCCAAGAGACTATAGTTTTTCTATGCGCGGAAACTCCAGCCTTGACTTGAAGATATTATTCGCAGTCACTAAACGGAACTATAAAATGGAGTATTCTGACTGGTTGACCTTGAGTTCATTCTGAAGGTCAACTCAGCTAGTAATATATGTCGTTGTATCAAATTGAGCTGATCCTCGCAGGATATAAAGCAACTTATGCTGCTGCAAATTGAAAAACTCAGAAAAAAATTTGAGTCTTGAACGGGATTTGAACCCGTTAGGTGGGTGTATCGGCCCGATTGGAGAGATATATATATGTGTATGAGAACATATATGAAGTATATATTTCTTCTGCGGTTGTAGTGTATCAAATTGAGCTGATCCTCGCAATATATGCAACTTATGCAGATGCAAAATGAAAGACTCAGAAAAAAAAATCTGAGTCTTGAACGGGATTTGAATCCGTAAGGTAGGTTTAGATGTCGTTGCATAACTATGACACGGCATGGTACACGGACACTTTCGCCTTGCGTAATTGACGACACCCTTTCATCCAATCAAAGAGGTCATTAATAACGACAGAACGCGGCTTAGTCACGGTCACGGCACGGTACCTCCATAGTTTTACACGCTACCTCCATAGTTTTACACGCTCATACGAAATCTGCTTGCATATGCTGTCTATGGCTTCGGTGTCGTTTGGTTGAATCCTAACCTTTACAGGGCTGGATATGATGGCTGGTCTTTATGATGTCTGTCCAGAAATGGAACTTGTCCAGTAGAATCTTAGACTTGCTCCAAGTGTCGCTCGCTAATTTTTTCCCCCTTGCAAACTCGGATCCAAATAGTCCGAGGCTTTCCGAGTCCAATGGCGCTAAAGTAAGCCGTCGTAACTGGAAGTGCACTATTTAAATCCAAGCTTGCAAATTGGGTCTGTCATCATGACCGCCGACTGAAAGGCCTTTATTTTAAGCCCTGCTGTTATATGTGAGCGGAGTTCCTTAGGTCCTGGCTAAACGAGGAAACATGTTTTCTTAAATGTTTCTAAAGGCGACGAAACTGTCAGGGAACATCGGGATAAATGTTTATTCAATATCGGTTAGCGCATGYGCACTTTCAAGATAGAGCTAGCGTTGCTAAGTAACGAACTTTTAGARTGTTGACCTTCGTGGCTAAACGAGGAAACTTTGGGAAGCATTGTTTCCCTGCGTCTTGGAAGCATGAAATGTTTCTGCCGCACAGCAGAAACATTTTTGCGTCTTGGAAGCAAAATTTGTTGCACGTTGCAATGTTTCGCATGTGGCTAAACTTGGAATCATCGGGGAACATGCGAGCGGGAAACATGTTTCTGGAAACTTGTTTCCTCGTTTAGCCAGGGCCTTAGTGGTTTTCTCCTGTGTCTCTTCGATTTTTTTCTATGTACTTCCCCCCCACCCCCCTCCCACACACACACACAAATATCCCAACTCAACATACAAAGTATTCTGGGCTGAGGGCTTCCTAGATTAGAGGGTGGCAGGACTCCACCTTGGGCCACATTAGTGAGAGGAGACGCATTAGCAGCGCATGCCACACGTGCTTCCCTTTATAACCAGTGTGGCGCTATGACGTCGTATGCGTACAGCGGGACAAATATTGACTGAAAAGGATTTTGTTGAATCAGTCAGTGATGTCATATTTTTGTCACCTAAACTGTTCACTTTGTTTGTAGGTTGAGAGTCGTAGTGGAAGACAGAGAAACGTCCGGAGGAGTATTCGTTATGAAAGTATTCCCAAGCACTACAATACAAACACTCCAAGAAGAGGTTAGTAAAATATTATATCCTAATGACATTCTGCATCTGCAAAATAGCGTATGACAACCAATGGATATACGTTGTCTTGATTGTGGAGTTCGAGAAGCACTCTATGTAGTATACTACATGTAAATATGTGGATCATGCCATGCATTGACARTTAGAACAATTTTCATATGACTGTGAAAAGCTCACGTCACGAACACGGTATTCACACCTCAAAATATTCGCTAGGCCAATCATATTGCTCGAGAATTTACTCTGCATCCAATCAAATACCCGGAAAAAATCACTTTTATTTAATTGTCTAGTCGCTCTAGCGCTTTCGCACTAATTGGTAGTGCGTGTGAGCGAAAAAAGTCCCCAATTAGTGCTCTTTCGCACTATTTGGGGACTTTTTTCGCTCACACGCACTACCACTTCATTCAATAATCTATGCACACAACGCTCGACTCACATGTTGATTTCTTCGGAAGGAGGAAGCCGGAGAAGCCGGAGAAGCCGGAGAAAACCCTCGTAGTATAGGAGAGAACAACACATCAAACAAACTCAATTCACATGTGGCGACCGCAGGGCTCTACCCTGGGTGCCAGGGCCGTGTGGGGCTCGAACCAGCGACCCAACCCGTTGGACTCACAGCGGTGAAAGACGACGCGTTAGCCGCGAATGCCACCYATGCTACCCAATACGGAACACGGAATAAACACGGCACGCACAAGGTCACGCAATTGTCAAGGCACTGCCAGATTAATCACACTGCGCGAGGGATAAAAACAGCCAATTAAAATTCTAGAAAACACACGGTAACGACACGGCAAGCTTAATGCACTGAGCTTTTCACAGTCAAATTTATATATAGTCTCCCCCACAGCCGCTTTCAGTGTCGTCACGCAACGCTTTCTCCCCTGAGTAGCGACTCAGGGGAGAAAGCGTTACGTGACGACACTGAAAGCGGCTGTGGGGGAGACTAATTTATATATTGCTTACAAAATCTTGAAAGCTAGGTAACCGCTCAGCATCGTTACAACAAAACCTTCAATGATATATTTCCTTATTCTTTGGAAATTTAGCGCGTTTTGAGTTTTATTCCAGAAAGTTTTCCTGTCGCTTAATTTCATTGAACTTGATTTTCAAATACTTCTGACAAATTTGGCGAAACTATCGTAACGCCTGATTACCTGAAATTATGTTCAGCTAAAGTTAGGTTGCTCATTGGCTGATCGGACCCTTGGGATCTATTACTGACTGTTAGGTAAAAGGTTGCTATCAATAGACGTCACTTCCGGTAAAAGCTGCCTTCTTAATGGCTTGTAGAATTTTGGAGGTTGTTTTGATCTCTTGTTTTCTGGTTTGATGTCGTAGAAATAGTCAAATACAATTAATAGTTTGAGGACTTATTTTGACAGCTTTTGACTTAACATCCGCTAGTTGCCCCTCGGTCAACCGCTTGTTTGCCCCCCAGTCAACTCCAAAAAGTCAGGGGTTGATAGTAAGAATGGAATTGATTGTTTGTTTTGTAGGTCGCCGAGAGGTTTGGCTTTCCTCCGAACGTACAAAAATGGATTATTGGGAAAATGATGGCGCAACCGAAGCAAACGTTGGCCGATTGCTACGTTAAAAAGGCAGGACACACTGCGTTTCTTTATTTAATTTCCGGTAAAAGTGCAGGCCTTACAAGAGGAGAACTTGAACGRTACGTAAAGAGAAACGAAGACAACATTATTTCCGCGCTAGGGCAACAGAGTCCTAATGGCACAGTGGACAATGTTGGCGTGACGTCTCTACGGGCGGTCACACCACAGTTGTCAAGGACAACAAGTATGCCGATGCTTCATACCGCAGGAGTACCAAGAACTGAAGCATTTGCGTCTCATTCTGTCACTGTTGAACAGCCTACGAGATCATTAAACCAAAGCCATCCTATCAACCAAGGGGAAAGTCTAAACAGTAGAGAGCAAAGGATTCTAGGTGCCTCAAATATATCTGTAATTCAAGAAGAACTTCGAAGAGCAGCAGCCATGTCTTCTATGATGGAGGATGATGTATTAAACCAGGGTCACAGTATTCCTGTAGAAGATACAGAAGAGCTACCGCCGGCGGGCTGGACGTGTAAAGCGTGTACTTACATCAATACACCAACCCGGCCGGGCTGTGAGGTTTGTGGAGGGGACAGACCAGAGGATTATGTTGTACCGGACAATATTGTGATCATGGAACAGGAGAGGATCAGAATCGCCGAGGAACGCAGACAACGGGAGCTTTTTGACCAGGTAAGCAGTTGACAGTATTTATCTTTAAAGTGTATCACATGGACGTTTCCAACGAAGCAGCCATGTCTAATCCAATGATAATATAAACCTTTGCTTTGCATACCCCGGGAAACTCATTCTTAAACGCTTGAGTGCGAGGCTATAAAATCTTATGCGTAGACGTCRTTTCCGATTCGTGTGGAATTCAAATTTTACCAGCTCAATAAGAATACGTTTTCAATAGGAATAAATGTACAATGATGATTGATCATGAAGGTCAGTGTTTGCCCTATTGAGGCTGGTAAATGAGATTCGTGATACTTCTAAATTCCAATTGAAATCCATTGGAAGAAGAGCCAATCTGTGGACTCCACTGTTAATTCCATTATTATTATTATATTATTATTATTATTATCATTATTATTGTTCTTGTTGTTTTCGTGGTTGTTATTATTATTATTATTTTATTTATTTATTATTATTTATTATTATTATTATTATTATTATTATTATTATTATTATTATTATTATTATGGTCTACAAGTTAACAACCTACGCTATAATATTGACTCAAAGACCATTTAAATGTTAAATATAAAAAAGATAGACCTTTCCCATATTGTCTTGAATGATAACAAGACACGAAGCAATGCTTCCAACTCGAGGCTGGACTTGATAAGATACAACACAGTAATTGTAAGAACACAACAAGTCCAACCTCAACTTGAAGACATTGTTTCATGTTTCGTGGTCACTCAAGGGAATTCGCAAAARGTCAAGGTTATCGTTTTATAGACCCCTTGCATATGACACGTGTCAAAGAAGCTCCATCAGGGGGACCAAACGAAATAATCCCAATCTCCTGAGAATTAGAACCTAAAGTTTTGTCCCCCAAATTGAGCTGCATTCCAAAGTTCTGCAAGGGGTCTGTATGGAATAGCATRTCCGGTGTTGTTTTAGATCCCACATGGCCTCGCCGAATTATTGTTTTTGGCATCTCAAAATTAGACTGATAGAGCAAGGACTKACCTGTATAAGCAACGTGCATTTCATCACTTGTCGTCATCTCTTGCCTGAAACCATCATATTAATGTTGCCGTGAATATGTGACGCTTTCCTCGATTTGTATTTGGCCACACTTGCTTCTGCAGCTCTCTCCTTGTGCTTAATAGGGCCTTATGCAGAGTGCAATCACGTGGTAATACAGAACAAACAAAAAAAAAACAATGATATTGCTGCCGTAAAAACAGGTGGTCGATAAGGAAGGCCCATGCACAACTATTGTGCCATGGACATACTTGACTGGCTTTATGTAACGTGCAACCCCGAAGTATTCAAGACAACAAAGCATAGTTGTCATGGAAACTAATTTTACTTACCTCTCGGTTATAGTTACGACATTTCATTACCTTAGGTTTCCTTTGACCTGGTTTTCGTAGTTAAGAAACTTTTTTCATGTCCAAGGTCCTGCCAAACGATCCATGCACTAGAGTTCGTAAAAAGTCATCGATCTTCTCTTACCTTTATTGCGCAAAGATTTCACTTTTTCATCAATTTAACACGTTTGTACTCTGCAGAACCAACGCACCTCAAATATGCCGGTAGTTGTTTGAATTTTCTTCTTTTCTCTAAGCAGCTACTTTTGCTTAAAACACGCCGGCAGCAGTACTCTTCACCTTCTGATCCATTGTTTTTTAATCATCTTCACTCTAGGGAATCCTGCAAGGTCGAAACCTTCCATTATGGGATATAGGACGTGAAGTACAGGAGTGATTGTACCGTTGGCCAACATTAGTCAGTCCTTGCTTTATCAAGTCGTAGTTGTTCAGTATTGAACCATTTTAACTTATTYGTAGCAGGCTGCAATAGCGTGATACAAAATCAGTAGACATTTTTACTAGAGCCATAATGTTTTCCCTATTTCAAACTTTCCGTCCTGAAGTTGACTACAGCTATTCCAAAAAAAAAGTTGGTGAAGGTTTTAAGGTTTTGTTACATGCTGCATACCAAGCCCGAAATGCCTCCCCACCCCCTACCCCCACACCGCCCCTCACCCTGATATTCACTGAATAATTGTTGTAGTGTTTTTATCCCAAGTAAGTTTAATAAATTACCAAAAAAAAACCTTTGTTTTATCGATAACGCCATCATTCAAAAATGCTTTCACTGCAGTATATTCACCTGCAGATTAATAAAACAACATACAGCTTAAATTGTGACCAATGAGCGCGCCGGAATTATTATATTCACTTGTGTAAAAATACTAAAATATGATTTTATTGCAAACTTGGTAATCAGTATGCAATATGCAACAAAACCGCTTCACCGACCTTCTTTGAAATAGCTGTATAGCCCGAGTAAACAGCAAAGGAGAAACCATTTAGGGAGGGGTGTGGTTAACAATCTTTCTAAAAAGAAAGTATATGCCTGGCCCAATCAGTAGTACCTTCTCATCTGTCATTAGTATCGGGAGCGACACTAATGACGGCTGCAAAAGACACTACTCAATTCGACATTGCTTACTCATATTTACCTTTAAACAACAAATTTCAACCAGGGTTTTTAAGGGTTGTCTCCGACTTAATGTTTATTAGAAATTATTAATTGATTAATAATAGCCATTACCTCGTTAGTTAATTTTACATTGCTTGAATAGACCCTTTTCGAATTCCAAATTACCGCTGTGTTCCTTGATTACAGACTCATTTRCWCAGGSTYAGCYTCGWATCAGTGTTTAAATATTCACAAATASCAACGGTAAAGTAAAGAAYRCACAACTTCAACAATACAAACACTTTGAAACTCGACGGACCTTGACTGGAACACGTGAATATTCTGCACAAACTCGAGGCTAACCCTGTGCAAATGAGTCTGTAATCAAGGAACACAGCGGTAATTTGGAATTCGAAAGGGGTCTATTACTGAGTCGATTCGACATTGCTTACTCAATATTTAMCTTTAARCAAYAAATTTCAACCAGGGTTTTTAAGGGTTGTCTCCGACTTAATRTTTATTAGAAATTATTAATTGATTAATAATAGCCATTACTTCGTTAGTTAATTTTACATTGCTTGAATTTACCTTACTGCAGTTGTTAGATTGAGAAATTTTCGTTTGAGAAATTGAGAAATGTTTGTTTTTGACTATACTTTACATAGATTTGATTAAGTGGAAGCGCTCTATATAATATTGACATTGACCGTAAAAAATTGATAAGAGTAAATATAGCTGCCACTGCCACTAGCTTGCATATTGATTTGAGCTAAATACTGCAAAACAAACCTGTCTATGAMTTCAGTCTTTGAAAATCAGGGTTTACACATTTTGATGCTGTTAGTGCAGTTTTCGTATGACTGTGAAAAGCTCAGTGCCGTAAGCGTGAGGTGCCGTGACCGTGATGCTTTCTAGAATTTTTAATTGGCTGATTTTTTCACGCGCAATGTGATTGGTCTGGCATTGCCGTGATCTTGGCGGGACCGTGTCCGCGCCGTGTTTATGCCGTGTTCCGGGTTTTTGATTGGATGGAGAGTAAATTCTCGTGCAATGTGATTGGTCTGGCGTATCACTTGCCGTGTCATGGCCGTGTTCGTGCCGTGAATTTTTCACACTCATACGAAAACTGCACTAATATTCACTAAGTGAAGTTGAGACTCAACCGTTTTGAAAGGTTTTATGATAGTTTCTTTTGAAGTCGATTGTTCGGGTCGCAGTCGTCTGGCACTTCTAAAGAAGTATTGTGAAGAACAGTAGCGGGATGTAGATATTTCCCGAATTCGCTCGAGATTACAGTTGATAAAACACAGTAAATATATGAACAGATCAAGTCTTACCTCGTTCTTGTAGCCGTGTTTCGTGGTCACCCTAGAGAATCGGGAAAGCTCTATAGTCGATCCCTTGGTATCATACTTGGCCAAATACTAATTGTATCCTGATGTRGCGTTAAAGGGAAGGGTACCCTGCGAGCATAGGATTTTTTTGAAGAAAATCCTCTGCTTGCAGGGTAAGGGAAGGGCTCTGTCTAGAAACAATTAGATTAGCCATTGAGATTTCCCATTTCATATAATATAAAATAACAAGATTATTTGTTAAAGTGGCCTCCATAGATTTTATTGCTAGCCTGTCGCAGCATGCGTTATGGGACATTTAATTCAGTTAAATAAAATAATACTAACCAAAAGACTTTATGGCTTCTTGTTCTTTTGATCGGTGTTATTGCATTGCTGTGACAGACTATTTATCGAAGTATTATGATAAGACTAACTATAGAGTCTATTCATGTGCCTTCTCTTGTATATCCGTTAAACRAATGAATGATACTCTAGAAAATGAAATATGGTCTGAAATGGGAAATCATTGCGCCTTAGTTAGAGACGTCTATCTATTTTTCGAGACAGTCTAGAATAGAAAAGCCGAACTCTAGCAAAGTTGAAAGTTTTGTCTGCAGCTACAATCAGTCCCCATTCACACATGTATGGTGATTTTTTTTTTGAACAGCCTCTATCGTGTGGACGGTGCGACCCTAAGTTGCGGATTCAAAAATATCTGTATACTTTTGGACGGAGTTATAATTCTTTTATTTAGAGTGATTTTATTTCCCTACTG